GGGAGGACCACAAAAAGGGTAAAAGCGTGGTTTGTAACCACGTTTTAGCCTATTTTGAGAATTCCGTCCGAACTAAGCTTAGGTTGGGAAATAGCTTGGTATTTTGACTTAGTTTGAAAAAAACTCCCAAAAATCACTCCACACAATCTCAAAAAAAATAATAATATTAATAAATGGAAACTAACACCATACCTCAACAAATCCACCCAAACATCATGAAAAAATTAAAAACAAAATCACATCTAAGGACAAACAAGTAAACTCCACAATCCCCAAATCATACAAATACAAGATACCAAAAATAAACAGAACCAAATGGTTTGAAAGAAAATTTCCAGAACTAAATGGAATAACATTTTTCCAAATGAGATTTTTGAGTAATTTTTCCTAAAATGTTGCCAATTTTGATATATTAATTTGATTGTAAAAAAATTATTTACATAACATTTTTCTTATTAATTACAATAAGATTATATTATAGAAATATTTTAAATTTACAAATTCACTTATAATGATATGATAAAAAAAAAATTGAGTCCTATATGATTGAATAGGCAATAAATAAATAAAAATTGACACTTATCATTTTTGGTCAAATAAAAAAAAGGAATAAATTATAAATAACTCATTGCGTGTAATTTAAAATACAAATTACCTTCTTTGATTTAAAAAATTATAAATATCCTCTTATCAAAAAATTTTATTTAACATAATTAATTAAAAAAATAAAATTCATAACTGCTATTATATATAATAATAAATTATCTAAATGATTAGTTAAAATAACTTTCTAACATCATTAAAATTGTTAATTGACTTAATAATTTATTAATAAAAGAGATTATTTATTATGAAATTAAAAATTTTAAAATAAAATGTAATTTTCAAATTATAAGAGATATTTTATATTTTAAATAAATTTTAAAATATTTATTTAGGCCTCGTTTGATAACAGGTTTTTTTAATAACTTTTTAATTTTTTGGTTAAAATGTGATGTAAAAAAAACTAGTATGTTTGAGATGACTTTTTGATTTTTTACAAAAAAATGTGTAAAAAGTAAAGAAAAAATAAAATTTTTAACTTTTTGATATAAGTTGTCCTCAAAATTCTAACAAACAGTACTAGTTTCAACACTAACCAATAAATAAAAGTTAGGGCAAGACCACCGCATATATATGTTTTTTTGTTTATATTATCGAGTTATATGATATAATATTATTTGTATTTATTATTTAGAGAAATATCACATCATTGAAATTTTAAAAAAGTAATTACAAATTATTGAAAAAAATTATAAATATTAATAATAACAATTATTAGTTTTTTCATGATTTTGTTTTATTTTCTATCAAAATAATAAATCAATATAATGATATTCTTTCACATGTGCCTATCATTTGTGCATTTCATCAAACTTAACTAAAGATTGTGGGGAAATTCTATATCACCTCTAGTTACCACTTTGTGTATTTGGTTATGATTTGTTGTATTGTTAATTATAATTTATTATGATATTAATTATGATATTATTTTGATTATAAAATAAGACTTCTTTGTTATGCTTTACGTGCTGTTTAATTATAATTTTTTTTTTAAGTTATGATTTTCATAATATTAAATTATGTCATTTATAATAATCAAATTTACAAATGACATAAGTTGCATATGATACACACCTTTACCCTAACATAACTCCATAATTGTGTAAACAAACTTGGAAAGTATAAATACATATGTATTTTAACATTTTAATTTTTTTAATAATTTTTAAATTTTTTGATTAAAAAAAGACAATTGCCAAACAAAGGCATATAATTTATACTAAAAAAAAATAATAATTATTGATTTCGACGTATACCTTAAAGAGCCGTCTTTTGCACATTTCTTACTAGTATATATATATATATATATATATATGGCACATATGTCAATATATTCATGTTAATTTGATATATTGAAACATACTGTTTGTGTGTTTCTCTGAGGAGGTGATCTCAAACGGAAGAAGAAATTGGCAAAGCCTTTTGTTACCATTTCCATGTCTTCCTCTTCTCCTTCACTTTTCAGGTATCCATCAACAAATTCCAAGTCAATGGTGGGTTTTCTTTCTCACTCTCCCAAAACCAACCTGGGCATCTCTCTTTGGGAATTCAAAACAAGCTTTCAGCTATTCTGCTCTCTTTCCGCGCTCACAAAAAAACACCCGTAGAAAAGTTTTTTCAGGTGAAATCTTCAAATACCCATCTGTGTTCTCTCTTAATTTCTTTTGCTTGTTTTCTTGGGTTTTGTTTGGCTTTCATTGTCCCGATGATTATTTTGGTGATTCAGTTAATTACTTCCACTTTTGATTTGAAAAAATCTTTTGCTTCTTTATTTTGGTTAATTGACTGATAATTGCTTATATGGTTTTATAATAAATTTAGACAGTATCAATGGATATTTTTATGACATGGTTCTATGGGAAATTTTAATATATTTTAATTGGTGAATCAAAGGAACAGGAGCTAAGAAGGAAAACCCAAAAAGATATATATGAGTGAGGAGAGAATCTTAATATTTTCTAATGTTGGTTGTGAATTTTTCTTCTATGGAGGCTTATAATAGGCATGATTGTCATCTTAGAACCTTCTCAATTAAGAAATTGTAGAAACAATCCTAGTTTCTTAAGTAGAGGAGAGATAATGAGAGGTAGTGGTTAATGCATTGTTCAGATTGATCAGAGAACCTTTGATCTCGAAGTTGGGGGTTCTGATTGACAGCCAGTGTTCGTTCTTATAGAGTGAGGGAGAGGTATTCGAAGGGTCGTTGAGCTTCAAGATAGAAAGCTCAGTTGGGTGTATGATCAGCTTGTGTATGTCAAGGTCAGTGCTGGTCTCCAATCTCCTTCTTTTGCTGGTGATACAGTTGTATTTTGTGGGGCAACAGAAGTGAAGCTGCTGAGGCATTTGCACAGTGTCTTAATTTGTTTTGGGACAGTGCTGAAGGTGAATATTGGAAAATTTGAGATTATTCTAAGTATGAGTTCAGGAATTGGCAAATTTCATGGGTTTAGAGAGCGGAACCTTCCCTTGGTGTACTTAGGCCTTTCTTTCTAGGGGCATCATTCAAATCTGTATCAGTTTGGGATGATGTCATTGAACAGTTTGAGAAGAGACTTGTGACGGGGAAAAAGAAATATCTTTCGAACGAGGTAAATTGATGTAGCACAGAGAGGGAGAAGAAGAGACAAAAGGGAGAGAGGAGAACACAAGGCTATAGCCCTAACCAACGTCACAACCTTAAAACAATTAATATTTTTCCCAAGCTGAATAATATAATGCTAAAAACCGAACTTAATATTTATAGATCACTAACCCTAATTAAGGGGTAGTTTGGGATGTTCTAAATAAGTACACTTTTTGACTTTTTATGAAATATGAATTGGGTATGGGTTGGGTTTGAAGTGATGTGGTAAAGAGATGATGTGACTTAAATAAGATGATATGACTTAAATAGGATAATGACTTTTTAACTTTTTGACTTTTTTAATATATGCCAAACAAGGCCTAAATTAGAAATTTGAATCCTAATATTATTTGGAAAGGAAAGACTCTTAATAAGACTCGATTAAATTTATTATTATTTGAAAGCAAAGACTCCTAATTAGACTCAATTAAAGTGGGAAACTAAATCCTAATATAGGACTGCTATAAGGAGCAACTCCCCTCAAGACTACATTCTCTCCATATCTCCTCAAGACTCTATTTTGTGGGCTTCATGGGCCATGACAGTGATCCGAACCGTTGATCTTGCAGGCCTAGAAGAGAAGAACATATAAGTAAAAAAAAATAACTTGATCGGATATCGATAGACACACAAACTAATCGTACTCTGTTTTATGAAATGGAAGGTAAATGGGATTTTAACCATCTATTTTAAATAAATAAATAAACCGATAAGTTAGTGTGCTTATCAATGTCCAATCAAGTTAATTTTTTGCATATATGTTCTTCTCTGCAGAGCCTACAAGATAAACGGATCGGATCACCTTCGTTGGCTTTGTAGTGCTCACAAAGTGAAGTCTTGAGGGGTATTGAGAGGATGAAGTCTTGAGGGAAGCAGCTCTAGACTGCTATATATCACCTGTTTTTTTCACCGTTTTATATCACCAAAGTATGTGGCAAGATATCATTTGCATTCATTAACTCCTTAGTAATTACTTTCAAATAAGGAAACCAATCATGAGTATCCATGTAAATGGTGATACAAAATGGTGACAAAAAACCGGTGATATATAGCATTTCACATTCTAATATTATTTGGAAAGCAAAGGGTCCTAACTAAACTGTAATTAAACTATATTATTTGGAGCTTATTTCCATCGAGGATTGTTTGGGATTTGGGAGTGCTTATTAAGGTTGCATTTTTTGGATGGACAATTTCTTTAGACGCCGTTCTTACCATTGATAATTTGCAGAAGAGAGGATTTAGGCTCTCTAATTGGTTTTGCCTATGCTAGAAAGCAGAATAACAGTAGACCATTTGTTGGTCCAGCGCGAGATAGCGGAGGAGTTATGGAACTTGTTCTATCAATTTAGATCCAGCGAGTGATGCCAGCTTATGTGCTTATGCTCCTAGAGTGTTGGAGGAGGATGACGGCTTATGTGCTTATGCTTATCTGTCAGAGTTGTGGAACATATTCGCTACATCATCCAATTGTAAAATTTAGTGCAAAAGCAGCTGGGTGAAGGGCTGGGAAGCTCAATTTATAAATTTCTGATTCTTACTTAGAAATTGGCACTATGTGCAGTATTGGGGAATGTTTTCACCATTAGAATGACCCAAGTGTAGAGGTAGTAACAAGTTGGTCCTTGCATGCCCAATGAAAATAGTTTATAGAGCAATTATTATCATTAATTGGATTATAATTGGGTTCTTCCTGAACTTCAAATTTGCTTATCTCATGAGCCTCAGTGATTCATAAAATGTTTTTTGCAATGAAAAGCATGATGCTATTTTGTGCATTTTTCATGCAATGCTACTTGTGATTGTTGAAATAAGTTTGTCTCTATACTGCTTTCTGGTAGTGCGATCAGTCACAGCTCCTTCAGAAGCCACTACTGGGTTTGATGACATGGTTTCCGAGACCAAGAGGAAATATTATATGTTAGGTGGAAAGGGAGGTGTTGGAAAGACAAGCTGTGCTGCATCACTAGCTGTAAAATTTGCAAACAATGGTCACCCCACTCTTGTTGTTTCAACTGACCCTGCTCATTCTTTAAGTGACTCTTTTGCCCAGGTTTGAGATAATTCTTTCTTGTTCCTTCACCAGCTCAAGTCATAGTCTATCTATATTAGCATAAACTACACTTTTAATCCCTGTAGTTTGACTCAAATTTCACTGTGGTCCCTAATTTGAACAGTTTGGCCCTACACTTCAAGTCAAATTTCAATTTGGTCCTTCCGTTCAAATTGGATCTTAAAATTAACATTTTTATTACATTTATCAATCTTTTGAGGTGTACACGTAGAAAAAATTGATGATAATTTGGACGAAGGACCAAATTGAAACTGAAGGTAAAGTTTAGGGACCAAATTGTTCAAATTGAAACAATAGGGATCAAAGTGAAATTTAGGTCAAACTATAGGGGTGAAAAGTGCAATTTACCCTAGATATTAATTCCTACTATTGGATTGCATATAACAACTTACATTCTATGCAATTGTATTTCAAAGGATTTGACTGGAGGGACACTGGTACCAGTTGAAGGACCTGATTCTCCATTGTTTGCCCTTGAGGTAAGTGGGAAAGTGATTTTTGATCACTTTGATTTTAGTGATATCTTTGTTGTCTAGCTTATGATGGACTTTGTATCTCATGTATTTAGTAAGTTTAAATGGTAGTTCTCAACAGATAAATCCTGAGAAAGCCAGGGAAGAATTTCGCAGCACAAGCCAGAAAACCGGGGGAAATGGAATCAAAGATTTTATGGATGGCATGGGCCTTGGGATGATTGTTGAACAGGTAAAACTTTTTCTGTAGTCATGCATAGTGCAACATAGAGCCCTTGTCTTTCCATGATTAAATCAAATTTAGGAGTTTTCAATTGTCAATCAGTTGAATGAGATGACGGTTCTTTCTATAGATAATTTGCATTAGAAATTATATCCATCTGCATGAAAACTTAATGTTTTGTTTTTTATCACTGGTAAAATCCAAGATAGCAATATGGAGCATGCCCAAAAGATCATTTTCATTCTTCAACGTATGGCTATACAGCCTATACTAAATTCTCCTTTGTTGCACACATTCAGTTACAACTTGTGATAGAAACATTAGCTGGCTTCTTCACTTTTTGATGCTTTATAAGAAACAATTTGGAGCCCTGGTAGATTGTAAAGAATGGGTTCCAGCATATATATGTTCAATATTTTTTTGATTGTAGCTTCATTTTATTTTATTTTTTTTCCTAAATAAAATTAGCATTTTCCCATAGCATTATTCTGATACCTGCTTCTCATTGACCATTTGTCTATTTTTGAATTTTTACTGGAAGTTAGAAGAGTTAAAACTGGGAGAGCTTCTGGACACACCTCCTCCTGGTTTAGATGAAGCAATTGCAATTTCCAAGGTGTTTGTAGACTCCTCTGTTTTCATAAGTTTCCTTGTAAAACGCTCAGGCTTTTTCTTGTATCTCTGCTGACTTGATAACTTCTTACCAGGTTATACAATTCCTTGAATCACGAGAATATAATATGTTTACTCGAATAGTTTTTGATACTGCCCCAACGGTGAGCTAAAGGTGGCATTTTTGTTCATTTCATTTTGGAGACTGTTTCTTGAACTTGATGGGTGTCCTTAACAGGGTCATACGTTACGGCTTTTGTCATTGCCAGACTTCCTGGATGCATCTATAGGGAAGATATTGAAGGTAGAGAGCTTTACTGAGGTTTAAACCAACCTGTGGTTGAGGTCATATTATGTTTCAACGCGGAAATTGGTTTGCTTTATATAGTGAAAGAAAGCATTGTTAACACTATTTATTATGTAGATAATGGTTGCTATTTTGCTCAAATGAAGATTTAGATAGATGTCATTGCTTATTAAAATTGTTGGATAGCTTGATGTATGTTATTGGACCAATTTCCTAATACTTAAGTTTCTGATAAAATTGGTGATCTAACATGGTTTCACAGCTTTGGTTCTAGGAGGTCTAGGGTTCAACTCTTGCAATATTTATTTCTGCTCTCCTTATTGTTTGTTATTGTGTTCCATGTTCTATTTATTATTGCAAGATGAGTTGCACATGTGGAGCAGTGTTGAATAGCTAGCTTGATATACATTGTTGGGCCAATTTCCTAGTAGCTTAATCTTTTGAGGCAATTGGTAATCTAATAAGAACAATGTTGGAATCTACTCAATTTTACGATCACCATGCTATTTATGTAGTGACTTCACCATTAAGGCTGAAGCTTTTGTTTATGGGAAGGTCTGTAGATAATGCAGGCTTTGCGAATTCATTGGGTTCTTGCGAAGCAAATCATTTATTTCTCCCATCATGAATCCTTCCCATTAGCCTTTCACTTGGAGGTGTTCACTCTTGCTATGACATTCTCTGTTTTCTTCATTCTTCTTTTGGATAAAGATTCTAGTAGCTTCCATGTAGTTTGTTGATCATGCAGCCTATTGGGCTGCTTCTTGTGCTGGGAGCAACTCTCTTCCTATTAACTGGCGGCATGTCCTAGGGGTGGACAGTGGCTCGTCATGTGATGCCCACCTTGGCCTGGCCATAATTTATATGGCCTGCGATCACGTTTTAGGGGTGGACATAGGCTGAATGTGGCCTCGTTCAAAAAAAATATATATATATATATATAAGATAAAGAATGTTTGGGCGGTGGAAAATGTGATGATGGTGTTGGGTGGAGAATATTTTAGAATGGAAAAGTTTAAAAAATATATTTCTTTCTTTCCTGAAGAGAAAAAGCTGAAAAAGAGTGAGTGGAAAAGTTTATAAAATATATCCGTCTCTCTTTCCTGGTGGGTAGGGATTGTGTTCATACGGGGAAAAGAATGTCTTGATCTTTGATCTTGGTGGTGGTACTTTTGATGTGTCCCTTCTTACCATTGAAGAAGGTATCTTTGAGGTGAAGGCCACTGCTGGAGATACCCAAGTGAAGAATAGTATGGTTGCTGCCCATCCATAACCATAAAAGACCCAGTAGCATAAGGATCATAACCAGGCAGATAATAGAGAAGTGAACCATTATCCGTTTGAAAACCTTTCATGCTGGAGATAGCATCTCCTGAGGAGGATATAGAAGAGGACAAAGCAGTTGGTGTTCCACCTTTTCCAGAAGCCACATCTTGCCCAGCCACTTTGGGAGAGGGATCTGACTTCAATACTGCAGCAACTGGCTCGGACTTATCAATTTTCTTCTCGCCAGCCATTATCAATCTTCAAAAAACCCAACTCTGCCCCTAAAACCGAAAGAACCCAAAGCCGCCGATTCCGATCTGGTTTTTTTCAAAAACCCTAGCGCTGGAAATACTCTCTCTAAGTGAGGGATGTCGTGCATGTGTGTGTATAGGAAATGGTCACAGGACTTGTCAACTTGGGGAACAGTTGCTACCTGGCTGCAACTATGCAAATTGTGTTCTCTACGCATTCCTTTTGTTCACGATACCACATGAACCAAAGTTTGAAGAAGGCTTTTGAGGCTGCTCCAGCTGATCCAACTTTAGACCTGAAGATGCAGTTAATTAAACTGGCACATGGACTGCTATCTGGTAAATATTCTGTCCCGGCACCAGAGAAGGATGATACCACAAATGCTGCAAAGATGGTTAGTGGGTTTCTCTCAAGTGTTGCCTCTGTTCTGATGAAATGGTTGTGGTTACTCAAAGCTACAGCTACCACAAAAACAGCAATTGCTGGCCGTCCGATGATGAAGTTTGAGAATGGGTATATTGTTGAGACTGTGTTTGATGGAAGTAAGCTTGGGATTGAGCCATACTCTGTGGATGTGTTGAAAAAACTCCAGCGGGCAGCGAAGGCATGGTTGCTGGCCGGAAAGAAAGGAATATAGGCCTAAATCTTATAGCTCTGATACCATGTAAAAATTGATGTATTATTGATTGATTGTATATTGTGTTTACAATGAGTCCTATATATAGAAGATTAGAGGAGGTAGGTATGTAGTAGGTGGAGTAGTAGGTGGAGTAGTAGGTGAAGTGGGTGGAGTAGGTGTAGTGGTAGGTTTTGGTACATTTTAACACTTAGCAAATTTTTTCCCCCCTCCCTATCTGGAAAGCAGAGGTAATCTAATAAATTTTGAGTTTTCAACTTCATTAAACTACAAAAACAGCCAAAAACTCTCCTTAGGCTTTCTAGTGTCAGTTAACAGTTAGTGTATGTTTTATCTTATCTTGTTTATTTTATTTTTTGTGAATTGCAACATATATTTCTGACCATAAAATAGTAGATGTCTAATTTTCTGTTGGTTCCACATTGTCTGTGCCATACTGCATGTGGAAGGAAGCTACAAGGGATTAGGTGTCTGCCTTTGCCAGGGGTATGATCAACTGATTATGAGGCAGTTATTTCTGTGAGAAATTAGGAACAGCCCCAAAAATTCGGAGCCCTGATTCCCCAAAAAAGTAAATACAGCCATCACAGTATCTGGTCATGCGAACCCCTACTTTTCTGTGGGTTAGATGTATGAAGCGAAGTCCCACATCACTTGAATACTAAAGTAATATTAAACATATAAGCATGAAGGCACCCTCACCTTAATAGCTAGTTTTTAGGGTGAGTTCTACCCAAGACCGTATAACATGATATTAGAGTCGGAGTACTCAAGGATGAGTAGGGTGTGCATTCCTGGCCTGCATGCCGCAGGTGCTGCCGAGTGAGCATGCCAGGCATGGGGGAGGGTGTGAAGCGAAGTCCCACATCGCCTGAGTACCAAAGTAATATTAAGCATATAAGCGTGAGAGCACCCTCACCTTAATGGCTAGATTTTGGGGTGAGTTATACCCAAGACACCGTGTAACAAGATGAACAATCTAAACTATGCAGTTTGAATGAGTTAAGTTGATGTTCCACACTTGAGACATTTTAATGTTTTTAGTCTCATAATTTTGTTAGTAGATGTTTGGTTGAAATATCTACTAAATGTGGGCATGCATAATATGTATTGTGCTCATTCAGAATTCAAAATCGTCAATGTCTGTACCCTAGATAAGCTTCATATCCAAAGCGCTGACCTCAGGCCTCAAAGCTGTTGTTGACAGATATGATTCTGATAGTTTCACAGGATGAGCTCCTAATTAGACGTCTTATATAGATGTAAAGGTAGTGCCTAAAAGAAAAATGGCAACATCATGTCTCATTGCAAAGGACTTTATGTGACTCAAAGTGTAAAAATCAATGTATAGAGAAAGAGAGAGAGAATCAATTATGTATATATTGATGTATTATTGATTGATATATATTGATCAATTACAATGATTCATGATTCCTATATATAGAAGAGGGTGAGTGTGTAGTAGGTAAGGAGTAGGTGAAGTGGAGGTGGTAGTGGTGTAGTGGGTTAGGTTTAGTGGAGTAGGTGAGATGGTAGTGGTGTAGTGGGTTAGGTTTAGTGGAGTAGGTGAGATGGTAGTGGTGTAGTGGGTTAGGTTTAGTGGAGTAGGTGAGATGGTAGTGGTGTAGTGGGTTAGGTTTAGTGGAGTAGGTGAGATGGTAGTGGTGTAGTGGGTTAGGTTTAGTGGAGTAGGTGAGATGGTAGTGGTGTAGTGGGTTAGGTTTAGTGGAGTAGGTGAGATGGTAGTGGTGTAGTGGGTTAGGTTTAGTGGAGTAGGTGAGATGGTAGTGGTGTAGTGGGTTAGGTTTAGTGGAGTAGGTGAGATGGTAGTGGTGTAGTGGGTTAGGTTTAGTGGAGTAGGTGAGATGGTAGTGGTGTAGTGGGTTAGGTTTAGTGGAGTAGGTGAGATGGTAGTGGTGTAGTGGGTTAGGTTTAGTGGAGTAGGTGAGATGGTAGTGGTGTAGTGGGTTAGGTTTAGTGGAGTAGGTGAGATGGTAGTGGTGTAGTGGGTTAATGAATGTTGAAATTGTCTTACATTGTCATTGAATTCGTTTTCTGTGTTGACCATTACAGCTTAAGCAGAAGATAGCCTCAGCTACTTCGGCCATCAAATCTGTCTTTGGACAAGAAGATACTCGGCCGGATCCTGTAAGCCTGTTGCACCTGGAGCTGGTGTTTATAATGTTTGTAATACAAAGTTCGTAATTTTCTGTCTGCTTTATTTATAGGCTGAGAAATTAGAGCGTTTACGGGATAGGATGATCAAAGTACGGGAGCTTTTTCATGACAAAGATTCAACAGAATTTGTCATTGTAACAATCCCCACGGTAATTGATCACTGTGTCTATAAACGTGGTGTATGTTTGGTTGCAGTTGCAACTCTATAGGTTACAGTTTGAGCAAAAATACAACTTATTGTCTTGTCACGTGAAGAATATGCAGCTACAGATCATGTCTCCAAGAGATGACGCCATTCAGTTATTGTGCCTTTTGTGCAGAGTAATTTATATGGATCCTGTGCTTGAATGTTGGCCAAATGGGTTAATTACACTTTGAATCCTTCCACCTTCACAAAAACTCACTTTGGCCCCTTCACTTTCAATTGTGACGACAACCCTTTGTACTTTTAAGTCAAGTTGCAATGTCATTCTTCCATTCATCTAGCGTTAGTGAGGCTGACAGAAATTGGTGCGTGAACTACATGACATTTTTCTGAGGGCACAATTAAAATTGGGTGGATCAAAGTGGGATTTTGGTAGAAGTGTGGGGGACTAAAAGGAATTTTTAGTGAAAGTGTAGGGGTGCTAATTGGGCGCCAAAAATGTCACATGTGCTTTACATGCCAATTTCCATTAGCCTCATTAATGCCAAATAGAAGGAAGGGGTTGACTCTCATGATTAAAAGTGGAAGGGTGAAAGCGGGATTTTGGTAAAAGTGCAGGGGTGCTAAGTGTAATTAACCTTGGCCAAATTGTTCAATGCATACTGACTTGGAACAATACAACCTTTGAATCTTAAAAAGACTAGTCTGAAATACTTGGAATAATAATAATTTTAGCTGTTATTGAGTATTGCTGACTAGCAAAAAGTTAGTTTGGTTTATCAGTATTCTACTAGGAATCTTTCATCGGAACTGTAGAATGACCTCTCTTCAAAACTATTCTTCTAAGGTGATGGCGATTAGTGAGTCATCAAGGTTGCGTGCTTCCTTGAAGAAGGAAAATGTTCCTGTCAAGAGGCTTATTGTTAATCAGGTCCTTCCCCCATCTGCCTCGGACTGCAAATTTTGCGCAATGAAGAGGAAGGTATAATCTATTTACTATCTTTTTTGCCAGATTATATGTTTTTACTGACTGTCATATATGATGAACTATATTTAATGTTTTGAATTCTGCCCATTATTCATAGAAACTTAATTCATAATTGATGTGTGTAATCTAAAATTTTTGTCATAGTCCTTGCGGTTCAGAATCTGATCTGATTTTACTTTGAAAGGTTGACGTAGTTGACATTTTTGCTTTTGTATAAGTGGAATTAGATTCAACAATTCCATTTTTTTCTATTTAAATGTTACAGGATCAAATGCGTGCTCTTGATATGATCCAGAATGATCCAGAACTCTCTGGTTTGTCGTTGATCCAGGCACCCCTTGTTGATGTGGAGATCAGAGGTGTTCCAGCTCTTCAGTTCTTAGGGGACATTGTTTGGAAGTGAAAATCTTTTTGATGATATCAATGATTCAGCATATTGGGTAACAACTTAACACTTCTGTAACCTTTTCTTTCACCCATTTAAACCAAGTTATTTTTTAAACTAGCATTTTCTAGCAAAATATTTATGAATAAAATGGGGAGGGAACGTTATGGTATTCCTATGAAACATGGGTACTTCGAAAAGTATGTTGTACCCATACGGGGTACTTACCGACATATGGTACCTCGTATGATTACTTCTACATACGTACCAGGCGCACAAAAGACGCACTCAAATTTTTTCTTTTAATTTTTGACGTATCCAAGCGTACCTAGTATATACTCAAGCCGTACCGTACCTCAATTAAAATAATATTTCCTTCTACTACAAAGATAAAACTCATTTCACTAAATTTCTTTTTTATTTTTTGTTTTATGCTTAGCATAATTTTAAAATTAAACTATGGTTTGTAAGTTATTTAATATATTGATATTTAATTTTGATTTGTACGTTTATTTTTGACATTAAATATTAATTGTAGGTTGGACCTTAACAAATTAAACTATTTAATTAATTTTTGCATTAGTTTAAATTAAAAATAAATATTTTTTTATAAGCGTACCAAGGCGTATCGCTATTTTTTTTTTATTTTTTTTTTTTGAATTTTACCATATTGATGTACCCGTATCGTACCAATACCAGTGCTCGTACCCGTACCCGTGCTTCATAGTGGCATTCTTTTATCTGCCAAACTTTGATGTTGGTAGTACTAACTACCCGGTGGTTTGAGGGACATATTATGACATGGGATTAGAAAATTTTGAATTGGTGGTGGATTTTAAAGTTCTGATCCAAGGTATTCATGTAAAGAGATTATTGTAAGATTTCTGAATGAAACTGTATATTCAATTGTGTATAATACAAAGAGCACAATTGATTTATATAGACCTAATTGAAAAAACCCAGCCTACACTTATTTTAAAATCCATGTATTAAGGACAAGGAAACTAAAACGTTATAACTAGCACAAATGGAGCAACTTCAGACTATGTGGGATACATTCCAACGCACCCTCTTGAACCACAACATACACTAGCCGAACAAATACACTAGCCGGACAAATGACACACCAGTCATAGGCCCAACCAAGCTTTGAAACCAAATTGAAAAGCTTTCTCTCTCTCTCTCTCTCTCTTAAATATTATAATATGGTATCAGAGCTATAGGTTGTAATATGGTAGTAGAGTTATAGGTTAAGCTTTTGGTGTTCTTCTCCTTACCGAGGGACGACAACCTTGGCTTGGCCACCCGCCAGACCTTAACCTATTCCACCGTCATATTTTCTTGTCAATATCGCTTCGTGGTGATCTCTTTCTTTGTCTGCTGGTTTATTCCTACCTCAAATATCTCTATCATATTTTTTTTTTACAATTGAAAAGTCCAACCCACACTTCTTAAAACCAAGGTATTAAGGAGAGAGAAACTGGAGCAATCACAGGTCCAACCAAGCTCTGATACCAAATTGAAAAGCCCATCTCACACTTTTCCTTAAAACCCAGGTATTAAGGAAAGGGAAACTAAAACCTTATAACTAGCACAGATGGGGCAACTCCAGGCGATGTAGAACACATTCCAACAGACCTAATCTAAAAAAAGAAATAAGAATAAACTTATATATTCTTACAATCAATCTAATATATTTATATAATTAACATAATACTTTCACACTTCCGTTCAAACTCAAGGTGTTTTAGGAGAAAACACTAAGAGTTCGCTAAGAAGAAATTAAAAACGAGCAATGATGTGAGTTTTGGTAAAGAAGTTAGCAAGTTGTAGTGCCGAAGAGACGAAAGGAAGTGAGATAGAGGCAGACTGCAGATGCTGACGAACAAAATGACAATCAATCTCAATGTGCTTCGTCCGCTCATGGAAGACAATGTTATGGGTAATCTGATTAGCACTGTGATTGTCACAATAAAGAGAGGTTGGGAAACACTGAGGGACACCCAAATCAGACAAGAGACAATGAAACCAAATAATCTTAGCAGTGGCGTAGGCCATAGCACGGTACTCAGCCTTGGCAGTGACATGTGAAACAACAATCTGTTTCTTGCTCTTCCAAGAAATCAAGGAATCACCAAGAAACATGTAAAAGCCAGAAGTAAACTTGCAATCAGTAACATTACCAGCCTAATCAGAATCAGCATAGGCCATCAAGTCCAAAGAGGAAGTGGAGGACAACAGGGGCAAATGTCTTCTCATAATAAATACCATACTCATGTGAGAAACTTTTAGCAATCAGGCGAGCTTTGTATCGTTCGAGAGAACCATCAGATTGAGTCTTTAACTTTATAAACCCATTTGCAACCAACTAGATTCTTGTTAGCAGGCAAAGGAACTAGCTCCCAAGTAGTAAACTCATCCTTCATAACTTGAATCCAATTAGGATCTTGATAGGCCTCTTTGTAAAACTAGGGTTCTGAAAAGGAATGAATGGCAGACAACAAGGTAAGATAAGAAGCAGAAAAACATGTATTAGAAAAATCCAACCTGGCCAAAGAATGATGTTCACAATCAGGATATTGGCATGCAGAAGGATCAGTGTCTTTAGAAGCAGCAGGAGTAGCTGCAGGCGTAGAGACAATCGGTAGAAGGAGAGCCTTGCGACGAGAATATACTAATAATGGAGGAGAAGAAGGAAGAGGATGAGAGGAGAGGAGAAGAGAAGAAAAGAGGGAATAGACTCATGGGGCATAGTGGAGAGGGACTCATCAGGATGGGTGGTAGCTGGAGATGAGGGAGCAGTGGAGATGTACTCATCAAGAGGGACCTTAGAAGGAAATGAATCAATATGAATCAAATCCTCTTTGGAAACCAGAGCAGTAAGAAAAGGAAACTGAAAGTAAGACAGACGTTCGAGAAATGCAACATGGTAGGAGACATAAAGGCGACAAGAAACAGGGTAGTAACAGCAATAACCTTTCTGGTAAGACTGTAGACCAAAAAGACACAGAATAGACCGAGCACTAAATTTGGTCCTATCTTTACGGGGAAGAAGGACAAAATAAGTAGACCCAAAAACAAGCAGGATGGAGTAATTGGGAAGTTGGAAAAATAGAGCCTCATAAAGAGAATGATCAGAGAGTAGGGGAGTAGGCATTCAGTTGAAAAGAAAAGCAACAGTAAGAACTGCTTCACCCCAAAAAGGAACCAGAACAGAAACAGGGAAAAAAAGAGACCTAGCAGTCTCAAGAAGATGACAGTGTTTATGCTCAGCTCGACCATTTTGGACGGGTGTATCAGTACAGGAAGTTTGGTGAATGGCACCCAAATTGGCCAAATACTCACAGAACTAAGTTTTAAAATATTCTCCACCCAAGTCAGACCATAACAATTTAATAGTAGACCCTTGTAGTAATCATAGACTGAAAAGTACAATATAGCTGGTAGAAGTCGGACTTATGAGTCACAAAATAAACCCAAGTCATCAACAAATGACACATAGTTTGTAGAACTCTCTTTGGTGAAAACTAAAGAAAAGGGCTTTAGATATCAGTATGAACTAAAGAAAACGATGTATCAGAGATAGAAGTACTTTTATGAAAAGGTAAAGGCTATCATTTTGGCAAGTTTACATCCCCGACACTCTGTACGTTGACTAGAAAAAAGTTTACCCAATATACCTGATTGAGCTAAAGACTGTAAGCAGTCAGCAGACAAATGCCCTAATCTAGAATGTCACAAATAAAAAGGACTCGACATAGAATCTAACTGAAAAGAGGAAAAAGCAGCCGAAGAGGTAGTCATAGGCAGATGCAAGTTCTCTACTACATAGAGGTCTCCAACTCTATGGCCGGTCCCAATCTGCTGTTTGGGCATCCAATCTTGCATAGAACAGATAGAAGAAGAAAATATAATATCAAAACCAGAGGCACCAAGTTGATTAATAGATAACAAACTAACAGATAATTGAGGAACGTAAATGAAAGATAGAATAGAGATATCAAAAATATCTGACGGTAGGATAGACCCAACAGATATAATAGACATATCAGACCTATTAACAACATTAACAATAATAGGAAAGGGAGGGAGAGTACAATTTTGAGAGTAAAGAGCAATGAGGAGTCATACGATGAGAGGCACCATTGTCAAAAAGCTAGACAAACGAAGAGATACCTGAAGAAGATCCAAAAAAACCTGAATAAAGAAAGGAAACAGCAGAGACAGAAAGGGATATATGCTGAAACTGAGCAATTTGAATATTCAAGAAAGCCAAGTTAGGATCAGGAGCCAAAGTAGATGCAGTATAAGCAGCGGGAGGCCAAAACATACTCGGAGGAGGAGCGTGGAACTGAGTATGAGATTGTTGATTGTTGAGAAGACGAGGTAGGAAGACATCTCTTCTTGGAACAATGATACTTCAAATGACCCTTTTGATGATAGAAAGTACCCTCATCTGAAGCCAATAGCCTATTTTTGGGCCTAGCAATCTTATCATCCATCATTGTAATGAACTAGTAAGAACAATATACAAAATCCAAACAAAAGAGTGCCAATATGCAAATAGGGTTATCCACTGAGGTCAAAGAATAATAAACACTAAATTACCAAGTGAATAACACCTTAGATAAGGAACCAGATGATAATAAACCCAGATGGGTCAAAGATCTGAACCTAGTTCAAAGAGAGATCGCAACTAAGAGAGCCAAAAAAACGAAGACGAATTGATCGCGATGCTCCTAGATAACCAGAGGGAGATCGCGACTGAGAAATCAAAGCGCAGAAGTTAATCTAGAAGGAGAAGAGGCCACATCGACCTAGAAAGAGAAGAGACCATGAGACTAAAGAACCACAGAGAGAGCGCACGAGTCGATGACTCCACCAAAGGTCGCGAATGACAATAAATTGTGATTCCGACGACCTACCACAGATCGCGAACCAAATAGCTTGGGTTTTGCTAAGGAATCTCGAGATGGAAGACCAAGAAGAGAGAACTTCGGGTGAGATCGCGAGCCTTTGATGACTTGAACTAGAAACTCGTGATGAACCAGGGATAGTGACAGCGAACTGGAGAGTCGACTTTGACTTCAACTTTGAGATTCATAGTCGAAACAGAGGGTGTAGACAAGGCACGACTCCGGCGATAAATCAAAGGCAGAGATGGAAGCCACAAATTGGAGTTTTGATTCTAGGGTTCAGACCAAGGTGGCTCTGATACCATGTAAGATTTCTGAATGAAACTGTATATTCAATTGTATATAATACAAATAGTACAAACGATTTATATTGACCTAATCTAAAAAAGGAAATAAAAATGAACCCCTATATTCTTACAATCAATCTAATATATTTACATAATTAACATAATATTCTCACAATTATTACCATAGCAAGCTGTTAGGGTAATCAGATGGCCATCATGCCGATAATCCACCTTGTGAAGTGTTCTCGAACTGCTAACATTCAACATGAGATAATGCATAAAAATAAAATAAAATAAAAGAAGAAGAAGAAGAAGAAGAAGAACAAAAGAAAAAAAGGATAATTACATGGACCTCACAAACCTCTCGTATGGTTTCTGAAATTAGAGTGATGGATAAATGATGGATGGGTTATTTGGTTATGCGTAGATGACGAGGTGACGTGCATGTCCTGGTTGGATGATAAAAAATAATTTTGATTTTATACTTGACTGTTTAATGAGCCCAAAATTAAGATTAAATTGAATTGTTTAGCATAGAGGCAAGATCAGAATTTAGATTATCAAAACATGCTGACGTCATCCTTTACAGTTGAGTTCAGTAACCACTCATTAACAAAAAAAATTTGTTGCATACTATCCGAAAAAGTAAGGAGTACAGTGTAATTTTATAAACCACAAGGGAGGTCTGTGTAATATTGCATCTGCTTTTTTTCTGATATAACAAGTTTGTATATGTAAATTGACATTAAATTGGATCCAACAGGTATTGCGGTAACATTGACTGACTGTTGTGTAGATGTGGTTGAAGTTGGTCTTCTACGTGGGATTGATCACTCCATTGATACTACTAAACCCTCTCTTTGACTGACTAGCTGTAGCGGAGGTTCTAGTAAACACACCAAACTCACTGGTCTTTTTTACGTGAGGATATGTGCATATTTTGAAACGACAGATATTATTGTATACAAGAAAGTCATATCTAAAGGGGAAGTAACGGAATTTTGTGTTAAAAAGCAAGATGAAAAGAAAAGGAAGCGAAATGTAGCTGCTTAAATCATACTTGTTATGATTATGATTGTATGGCCAATGAATGAATAGAATGTATGTGAGCTAAGGTTCGGTTCATTTGCTTAAAAATATATAGTGGACGGGAAGAGTGATTATTGACACATAATTCGATCATAATATTGCCTTGTGAAAATTTGTGATATTGATTAAGTTACTTTTTGTTATTGAAGTAATGGGTGACTAACACAAATGCAGCTTATATTGGAGTACTACTTTGGGAAGAAATTGAAGTGAAATAAAAATCTATTTCTCAAGTTACCTTTGATTGCCAACGAATGAAAATTTGTGTCCATTTGATTTTGGGAACACATTTGAATTTTTCATTTATGATTCTTTTAGAGATGCCGACATGTGTCGTTGAGAGACCGGCATACTTGAGATGACTCAATTAATTGACCCGGGATACCGATCTCTTTTAAATTTTGATTATTTTGAATTTGACCGATCCAGACCATTTATTTTGTTGATTGATCAGATGATGATTAAACACCATCAAATTTTTAGTGTCTACACGAACATAGCATAAAAGTCTGTCATACTCAAACCATTCTTTTGCATGACTCTTCTTTTATTTTCTTTCTTATAAAAAAATTAAATTTTTTTTTTTTTCCCCTTCTTTAGGTGGTATATATGTACTTAAACTACAAAAGATAGTCAATACATTTGCAAACAAGGAAGAGTTCCAAAAATGAGGAAGAGTCCCATTTGATAAAATTACATTAACATGACTGCCTATCAAAAATGTTACCAGTATTAAAAATATACAACTTAAGCACTGCTGAAAGAATGAATTCAAATTTAAAGAATACAACCACAAATTCAGTGACTATTGTACCCAGCTGTCGATTCCACCCCTGAGAATCTGTTTCGTTTAGTCAGTTATACCGTGTGATAGAAATTCTCCAAATGCTTTTGTGCATCAGAATAGAACGACAAAAAGTGGCAGTTTTTGAGCTCACTTCTTTCGGAAAGTCAACATGCCGATGAAAGCTATAACTCGACTACCCACACCAATGAGCATAAGGATGGATATACAGAGACCCCAGTGATGAAGATTATAACCCATTGTCAATAGTGAACCACAACGAGTTATCAACCACACGCCATAGTACCTGTGGTGAAAACACAATGATTAGAATGCTTCATCAGATTCGTTAAACTTGCAATTAAATACAATTCCATGTTAACTTCTCAAAGATCCTAAAGAATAATAAGTTAATTTTGCGTAACTGGCTCTAAATATTCCTACATAAACAACACACCACCCCTTTTTTGGGTCAAGTTGGAAGGTGAACAGTTAAGAGCATTGTTACATTTAGTTCATGCCTGAAACCATAAAGAAGACGGTTGGGCAAAAGGTCTACGGCAAAGCTCCATCGTAAGTCTGAGATGCATCCCACGTAAAAGAGTGCATTGTTACTTGTTAATGCACTTAAATGAGTGTACATTCCCCTCTAAAAGTGGGTAATTGAAGCAACATAGAACTATTTAATGTTTTGTTAACCAATGCCCTCATGGCAGTCGTTAATAAAAGCCTTGTTGGGAAATGCTCCAGTGTGCGCACTGTATGCAATCCTACAACAAAATTACGTAAGTTTTTATGAACTTACACAAGTAATGTCACAAAAATGTGTACGTTGAATACAAATTCGTGTAAGTTCGTGAAAACCTACGGGATTTTGTAAATATCAAAACTTTTATGAATAGACTTGCACAAATTTGTGTTCAACTTACATATTTTTGCGAATTTGTGTTCAACTTACGTGTTTTTGTGAGGTCACTTATATAAGTTCGTAAAAACTCAAGTAATTTTGTGGTAGGATTGCATAGGTATAATGCTTATCCATAAATATCCATGTCTATTGCTGACAACCAGGAGACACTGGCAGCAACAAAATTAACAGAATTCTCATGCTGCAAGTAACTAGTAAAGCAGCCATATCAGAAGGGACATCAACCACTAAAGGTTGCTAAAAATGTCGAAATGAAGAAAACCCAACAGCATCAAGAGTATCTGTTGTAAGGTGGCCAGCTAGTCCTTTGGCGTTTATCAAGGCTGACACCTGAATGACCTTGTTTACCCTTCATGAGGCTGACCTAAAAAAGAAATTTAAAAACCACATAATAATTTAAATTTAGTTTTAGAAGTCCTGGTTGGAGTAATATATCTTGTGAAGGTATTAGATGGAAAATTCTAAGTGCTATTTTTGTTTTTCTTAAAGCCTGTGAATGCACGGATGTTTTTAAATCCAAACCAAGATTGGATGGTAAACAAGGTAATTTTTCGAAAAGCAACTAAATAGTTTGCTTAATTCCTGAATTCTAGGATTCATTGTGTCCATCAATAATCCCAACTAAATGTTCGATTTTTACAAACACACTTGTCCATTTTTTGGAGACAAATGCAATGAAATGAAAAGGCTACGATCGATAATCGACCTAATTTTTTCTATGAATGATATACATGGAGGGTCCCTACAAACTAACTGGTTCGGATCATCGAAAAGGTGACTCGTGGTGGGCTCCATGGGCCTTGAACTTGAGAAAAATCCAACTCTATCTCTTATAACAAGGCCCCCAACAATTTCCGATATGCTGATATCTATCAAAATTTCTGCCATACTTTGGACCAGTTTGAGGTACTTCTGTCACTATTCTGTATAAACAAACAACTTGACTAGTCCATGCAATGCTCAGAGCACATTTAATCAAAATATTGTATTCCTTCCTAGCTGTCATGTCCAGTAAAAGCAGCAAAAAAAATCCGATGCTTTGCTAGTCAAATTTCTTATCTATGTCTTCTTTCTCTGAACTTTTGTTTCTACAAGAAGATTTGCCTGGTTTATCCCTTGCGTGAGAGTGGCACATACTATGGTTGTTAAGTCACCAATTGTTCCAAAAGCTTAAGCCTTTAGGAAATTGACCTAACAATGAATATCAAGCTATTCAACAGTGGCATCTGACTATGAGAAACGATGGTTGTCTTACCTTTCTGCATTTGCGAGTACAAATCCTTCCAAGGCCCATTTTGTGTAGCACAAGTTAGCTAGGTTCTTCAAAAATTTACTTCCTTTCGTTTGAGTTGCAACGAGAGTCAAAACCACAGGAAGCAGCACTGCACACTGCACAAAATATAATTAGCTGGTTAGCAGAAACAATTAATTTATGGAAATTTAAATTTGAATAGCTGATGAATTTCCAATGTGAACAATTAATTACCAGCTGGGATGGACCAGGTTCAAGGAAGATGGCCAATGCATATCCTATTCCAGTCACACAGTACACAAGACACACCAATACAGTGTAATTATCCACAAAAGAAGATCTGGGGTTGCTGAAGAAATAGAACATTGAGAGATACACCACAGGCTTAATTGCTGTATTGAAATGGTCTATTGTATCCTTGGCAAGAAAATGAGCCAGGCTGCTAATGCCGGAAGCACTCTCTCTCCAATATTGTAACTTGTCGAGAGAAAATGATCTCAAAGCCGCAATTTTGCATAGAAGAGCTGAAATCGGCAACAAAGATTTAAAATAAAAATAAAAAATAAAAAAGATAAGTAAATGATACATAACAAGGAACAAAACTTGTGCAAATGCGTAGTCTATCATTTATTAACAATCAGACTAACAAATATTTTTGGGTTAATTACAAACAAAAAAAAAAATCAAGGTTTCACGCATTTTTTACTTTAAACTCCAGTATTTCAATTTCGACAAATAAAACCCTGGAATTTCACTTGTGTTTCAATATACCCTCTCTGTTCATCTTCGTTTGTGTAAGGTCACGAAAGGGATTTAAAGTGAAAAATGCGTGAAATCTTAAAGTTTTTTGTGTAATTAACAATTTTTTAAAAATTAAAATCACTAAAAACAAAAAAGAGTTAATTACAAAATAAACCCAAGGTTTCACGTATTTTTCACTTTAAACCCCCTCTGTTACCTTACATAGACGGAGATGGACGGTGAGGGCACATTGAAACACATATGGAACTCCATGATTTAATTTGTCGAAATTGAAGCACTGGGATTTAAAGTGAAAAAGTGTAAAACCTTTGGGGGGGGGGGTTGGGTTTGTAATTAACCCAATATTTTTTCAACTTCGAAATCAACGTTATTAGATATTTTATGTTACAAAAGATATTGTTGATTCATCATTGATCATTCAAACAAGGAGCATAGGGTTACTAATGTTTGGAGGAGGCGAGAGTCAAGCAAAGTTTCTGACATAATTCTGAACCTTTTGCATCCATGAATTTAATTAGAGAAAACCTTTTAAAAAGATCCCGATGCAGTTGGTAAAAAGCATAACTAGGAGCCCACGAATTTAATTAGAGCAAACTTTTTTAAAAGTATCCTGATTGAGTAGGTAATTTGGTATAAGTATAACCCAGAGCCCTAAATTTTCAACTTACATACGCCAATGATGGTGTAAGTGTAACCAGCTGCCCCAAATTGTGCATCACTCACTTTAGTAAGTGATCCTAAGCAGGCCCCAGCAAGTAACAAGATAAGATAATCTATGACTTGTATTTTAGCTTCTCGAAACCGCTGCTTGCCAAGCCTGAAAAATTCATGGGCAGACAGAAGATCAAGACAGAGAAATTAATGCAACATAACTGAGTCGCTCTTTTTTTATTATAGACTCCAACACAGCCAACTCCCCATTCCCCACCTACATCTACATCTAACTATAATTGAAGCCAAATGATTACTGTACTTAACAAGTAAATTTCCATATAAATTCTGTTCAGTAGTATTTGTATTTAAAAGGAAATTGGCATGTCATTCTGTTCAGATATACAGTTAAACATCATCAATATTTACTATATAAAATCTCACACTCGAAGTCCATCATTTTCTCTAAAAAGATCTCTAAGGAATGACCAGCAAGCATGGACAGTTTTGCAAGTATACACTTCAGGTAATGTCTTGTGAGAGGAAAGTTGCATTGTTTGACTGAACCAAATAAATCAAGCTATCACAAATATTTCTCCTAATATATATCATATATATGTAGATATTTTCTATAAAAGATGTATCAATTGAGGGAGCCTATAAAAGTTAAAAAGAAATACAAAAAGAAAAAAGAGATTCTTAAATATCTACCTCCCAAGGAAGTGTTTGTATTGCACAAAAATATTCGGAGTTCTCCGATTGGACACATCTTTAGACCTCAAGAAATTGTGTCGTATAATATCCCTCCGATGTTCCACATTACTCATCATATCCTGCCATATTTCTCCAGCAAAAGATATTTCCCCGTTTCCAGCAGCAGCAGAATTTATTTGATTACCTAGATTTACACCCGCTGAGGACATAGCAAGTCCAGCAGAATTTTTCTGCAAATCTGGTGGTACTGGATACCCTTTATGAAGCATCCATCTAATTGGAAGCTCTCTATAATTCACACCTTTACTTGTGCTTGGCTTAACCATCCCCTCCAAAACATCAATATAGTGGTCTGGCGGATTAACACGCTCTGGCACATTGATCCCAAGGCCTGAAAAATACTCTTCAACTTTCTTTACAGGTCCGTGATAAACAGTAAGACCACCTTCTGCTAGAAGTATTAAATCATCAAACATCTTGAACAAGGTGTAGCTGAAACAGAATTTAACAGACCATGTGAGAGAAGGAAGTTACCAGAATGCCCTAGAATTTGTAAGAGATCAAGTTAAATGTTTTAAGGTTCTAGCTCCTATACATTATTTATGCCATCTTGGTAGTGCAAGAGAGTCCTCAATTTCAGCAGTTTTAGTAGATCCCTGGAGATGTAATAATAAAAAGGATATTTTGTACATGACACACCAATCCAGTTGTTGTCAACTGTGGTATATGGACTTCTATAGATTTGTGAATTACTTGTCCCAGACACTCCATACTGAAAGGATTTCGGATATATGTCTAGGTAGTTGAGTTTACTTTTTATGCATAGCATGCTCTATATTAGCTTATAAACACACCATTTTGCACTAAAGGTAAAAATAAAAATAAGTGTTTAAGAAATATAAAATCTAGCCATGTCCGATGTCCATGGAAATGAGAATTAGATGAATTCTACACACAGACACATACCGCATCTAACACTTGTACCATAGTCCATGTAAACATTAGGCTATCTACAAAAAGGCTTTCTTGTTTCTAGTAAACATTCATACAAAGACACGTATCAACAATACAAGCTTAAGTTGTGCTCAGAAGTCTCGTGAGCTTAATTCCTGAAATAGTTTCTTGAAGCTATCAGAATAGCATCTGATATGCTGACTACAAATGAAAACCTTCTAATGGTAAAGCTGTCATATTGAACAATTCAAACGGTCATGTGATTAAAAAGAGAAAGAGAATGACAGTGAACACAGTTCCAAAATATGGAGTTTGTGAATGATATTATTACCTTGGTTGGTGGACAACCATACAGATGTTGACCCCTTCAAGAGCTTCACGTCGAAGTGCTCTGAGAAGTAGCACTGAGGACGAACTGTCCAAACCAGATGTGGGCTCATCCAAGATCAAAAGTGATGGTTCCATTACCAACTCCAGGCCAACATTTACTCGCTTCCTTTGGCCTCCTGAGATTCCTCGCTTCTCTACTGTTCCAACCAAGGAGTCCCGCACTGCTTGTAACCCCAAGGACTCAATAACTCTTTCAACGATGAGAACCTTATCTGCCTTCGGCAAGTCTGCAGATAGTCTTCAATAATTTGAAAAAGAAAGGTAGACAAGCAGTGAATAGAAAAGATAGATGGAAGTGACTGCATTATGAATAAAAAAAATATAACGAAATATAGAGCATTGCGTGAAAAAAGGAAGACAAATAAGAATGTTTATATTGGATGAATACCTTCATCTAATAGCACCTGCAAGAAAAATTAGTCCTGAATGGAAGAAAATTGCTGCAATAGATAAAATGCAACCACATACAATGGCAGAAAATTGCCACAATAAATAAAATGCAACTGTCTACAACTGTGAAGTAGGTGGAAATGGAAACATTACAATTCTAAGCAAGAGATAACAACCATATTTGGTACATTTGATAAATTGTCCATCCATCCTTAAGAACTGAGGAGATATCATGGTATTGGTGTGTGAACTTAGGTCAAAAGAAAGTAAACATGTCTACAGAACAGCAATACCCTCAAGTTTCTAGAAGCTGCGCATTCAGCATCCACAAAATGTAATGCTTACTAAAGTTCCTTTGTAAAAATGCCAGATAGAATTCCTTTATCCTAATAAACAGAAGGACTTTCATTGCCAAACACTTAAGCAGGTATATATAGTTCTTGTTGCTTCCCAATTGCTTCCAAACACAACAACCATGTTGAATCAACTTTGTTAATTATGCCTCAGAGAAAACATGTTTGGAGTGTCCGGTGGTTCCCTCCTAGTTGGGGGTGGGTCCCACACCAAGACCCTTAATGAGTCAACAAAGTTTATTTTTATTTTATTATTGGTTTGGAAGCTTCTCATGGAAGCTTGGTTTTGTACCTGCAAGTCAACAAAAGAGAGAGAGAGAGAGACATTTTGTCTCTAATTGAATCAACACAGCAGCAGAGAAACAGAGAGAGAACTGAGAGAGTGAGAGACCAAAAAGAGAGAAGAAAAGCTAGGTTTTCTTCAACCTTTGAAGCCAAGATCGGGTGGTTGATTTAAGTTCGCTTTTGATGAAATTTCAGCGGGTTGTTCATGAAGACGAGCTCTACGTTTTGATGATATAAGCATTGTTAATGATCCAAGAATATATCCTGATGATTGTATACCTTTAGTTGTGACTAGAGATGAACCATTGTGACCCTATTATTTTATAGTGGAAGTTTATTTAGAGTTGGACCCGTGGATGTAGGCACTTTTGTCGAACCACGTAAATTTGGTGTTTTGTGATTTTCAGCCATATTATTGCTTGTTGTTTGTGGTTTGTTGTCCATTTTCTAATTACACAAGGAGGGAAAAATATAGAGGTTTTCCCAACAAATAGTACCAGAGCACACAGTTTATGCCTTGAAAGTGTTTGACAAAATTCTTGTGTGAATTTTAGAATGGAGGATAATTCGGGGGCTATGATAAAATTGACCTCTTCTAATTACGCAATTTGGAAACCACGAATGGAGGATGTCCTTTACACTAAGGATTTATATAGACCAATTTATGATAAAAGCAAAAGGCCGGATGATGTAGATGTTGAAGATTGGATGATAATGAATAGAAAAACCGTTGCTCAAATTCGGCATTAGGTTGATCAAAGTGTGTCTCATCATGTGGCACAAGAAACTAATACTCACACCTTGTGGAAGAAATTGGAAGCCATGTATGAGAGAAAAACTACGCAAAATAAAGCTTCTTTATTTAGAAGGCTTGTCCACGTGGACTACAAAGACAGGCACAATGTTGCAGAGCACATGAGTGACTTTCAAGGCTTGATCAATCAGTTGACGATGATGAAGATGGTGCTAGATGATGAGTTGCAAGCACTATTGATGTTGAGCTCTTTGCCTAACAGTTGGGAACCTTGGTTGTGACTATAAGCAATTCAGCACCAAATGGTGTAGTCACCATGGATATGGTGAAAAATAGCATGTTCAATGAAAAAGCTAGAAGAAAGGAGCAGGGTACTTCCAGTGAGTCGCAGGCCCTTGTTACTAAAAATAGGGGAAAAAGTAGAAACAGAAAAATCTACAACCGAGACAAGTCAAGGGAAAAGTCTAGAGGAAAATCCTAATACAGGAAAAACATTAAATGGTATCACTGTGGCATGAAGGGGCATATGAAAAAAGAATGTTGAAAGCTTAAAAGAGAGTAGAAGAAAGAAAGAGGTGGTGAGAACAAAGATGAGAAACAAACAGCTGTAGCTGCATCTAAGGATGGTGATGTTATCATTGTCATGATGACTTTTTTGGGCTCACAGGGCATGATCAGTCCAGTTGGGTGATTGATTCAGGTGCTTCCTTCCATGTTACTTCACAAGAGGACTTCTTTACATCTTACACACTTGGTGACTTTTGCAATGTGAGGATGGAAAATGATGGTGTGTCCAAGATTGTGGGAATGAGAGATGTTTGCTTGGATACCAACACTAGTTGCAGGCTGGTTCTTAAAATTGTGAGACATGTTCCAGACATTCGTCTCAATTTGATTTCCACTTGATGATGAAGGCTACAAAAATCAATTTGGTGATGGAAAATGGAAGTTTACCAAAGGTTCCTTGATAGTGGCAAGAGGAAAGAAGTGTTTCACTCTCTATATGATGCAAGCAAAGCTAAGCAAAGGCGATGTCAATGCAGTTGAGAAAGAGATATCTACAGAGCGACGGCACAAGAGGCATGGTCATATGTGTGAGAAAGGCTATGTGTGAGAAAGGCATGCAAGTGCTAGCCACGAAAGATCTCTTTCCTGAGGTGAAAAGTACACAACTCAAAAAGTGTGTTCATTGTTTAGCTAGAAAAAAACATAAATTTCCTTTCAATAGATTTCCTACATCTAGAAAATCACATGTTCTAGTTTTAGTATACTCTGACGTTTGCAGTCCAATGAAAGTTAGTACACTTGGTGGTGCACGTTATTTTGTTACTTTCATTGATGATCATTCTAGAAAAGTTTGGGCTTATGCTTTGAAAACTAAAGATTGTGTGTTGAAAGCATTTAAGCTTTTTCAGGTTAATGTTGAAAGGGAAACTATGAGATCATTGAAATGTATCTAATCAGATAATGATGGTGAATACAAGGGTCCATTTGAAGAGTACTGCAAGAAGATTGGCATCAAGCATGAAAAAACTATTCCTAAGACACCTTAAGAAAATGGTGTAGTAGAGAAAATGAACAGAACAATTGTGGAAAGAATCAAGTGTATGCTCTCTCATGCGAAACTGCCTAAATCCTTTTAGGGTGAGGCAATGAGAACTGCAGTTGATCTAATCAACCTTTTTCCTTCAGCTCCGCTTAATGGTGATATACCAGACAGAGTTTGGACAGGGAAGGATGTTGCTTATGGGCATTTGAAGGTGTTTGGGAGCATTTGTGCACATTCCTAAAGATGATAGATCAAAGCTTGATGGAAAGACAAAGCAGTGCATCTTTCTTGGATATGGCCATGCAGAATTTGGGTACAGATTGTGGGATCCATCCAGTTGGCAAAAAGGTAGTCTGAAGTAAAGATGTAATCTTCTTTGTGGATCGAACCATTTAAGACTTTGATAAAGATGAGAAGCCAATTTCCAGAAGTGAGTATCCAATAAACTTGGATCTAGTCCCTCCACCCATGGTGCATAATGATAACGGGGAAGATGTACAAGAAGATGTTGGTGATATAGTTGGTGATGATGCTATGGATTTGGAAGAGCAAGAGGAAGCAAGCACCTCCTGAACCACCAATAGAACCACAGTTGAGAAGAACTACTAGAGAGCAATAGTCTTCAACAAGATACTTTCCTAATGAGTATGTGATGCTTACAGATGGTGGAGAACCAAAGTGCTACCAAGAAGCTGCAACTCACAAGCATAAGGGGGAGTGGTTGAAAGCCATGCAAAAGAGATGAAATCCTTACATGAGAACCATACTTATGACTTGGTGAAATTGCCTGCGGAGAAGAGAGCACTCAAGAACAAATGGGCCTACAAACTGAAGAAAGAAGGAAACTCAGTCTAGGTACAAGGAAAGATTGGTTGTTAAGGGTTTTCCCCAGGAAAAAAAAAAAATTTGATTTTGAAGAAATCTTCTCACCCATAGTGAAGATGTCATCTATACTGGTTGTCCTTGGTTTGGCCGCAAGCTTGAACTTAGAGGTTGAACAACTTGAAGTCAAGACAACTTTCCTTCATGGTGACTTGGAGGAAGAGATCTACATGGAGCAACACGAGGGAAGCTGGAAATTTGTGTTAATGCATATAATAAGATAGTGGCATATGATAGTGGTGTTGGTGGTAGATAGTGGCATGTATAGGCTTTGCTATAGTTGTTTTCTCAAGAACATGGATAATGTTCATTGAATTCACTTTCTGATCAGGATTCATTTTCATTAATTGAATTATTATACACTCCAGTGGCATCCTTGTGACTGTGAAGAACTCCGTTGTAATCCGTGTTGGCTGTGAAGGGTTTTCCCCATACTTTGTGAGAACCCCAAAAAAAAAAAAAAAAAAAAAAATTGATTTTGAAGAAATCTTCTCACCCATAGTGAAGATGTCATCTATACTAGTTGTCCTTGGTTTGGCCGCAAGCTTGAACTTAGAGGTTGAACAACTTGAAGTCAAGACAACTTTCCTTCATGGTGACTTGGAGGAAGAGATCTCCATGGAGCAACATGAGGGATTCAAAGTGAAAGGCAAGGAAAACTTAGTTTGTAAACTAAAGAAGAGCTTGTATGGTTTGAAGCAAGCACCAGGCAATAGTACAATAAGCTTGATTCCTTCACGGTTGATCATGAGTACAAGAGGACCACTTCTGATCATTGCATGTTTGTGAAGAGATTCTTTGATGGCGACTTCATCACTTCGCTGCTTTATGTGGATGACATGTTGATAGTTGGGCATGATGTGAGCAAAATTGAGAAGTTGAAGAAAGAGCTCAGCAAGTCCTTTGCAATGAAGAATTTAGGTCCTGCGAAACAAATACTTGGCATGAAGATTACCTGTGACCTATGTTACATGGACTCAGGTATGAGTATCGGGTGTGGGTGTGGGTGTGGGTGTGTATCTAAG